TATTACTAGCAATCAGCCCCTGTATAGTTTTCAACATCCTCCTACCCCCTTGTTGTGTAATGAATATTTGGTTGTGTGTAACGCTCTTTACTTTTGAAATGCAATCCTTTACTTTATAATAATAGATATTGATGATTACAATAAATATAAAAATAGATTTACTGTAGATAACTCTATATAAATCTGACAAGTATTATGAGTACGGTATATAAATTTTTAACCACAATTCAGAAAGTTTATGTGATTACAACGCCATTATTATTAGGTATTAAATATTTTCATTAAATTTTTTAGGTGTAAATAAATCATATCTAAATAATAATTTATAACAGGCTATATGTTTTTCATATTAATTATCTAATAATATAAACAGTAAAGAATAGTTTTATAATTACAAGCAATAATTATTATTATTAAACATTGTTATTTAAAGATAGTTTATTTTTTATTTAATAATTAATTTTACAATATATTAATTAAATGTAAATAAAATAAACATTAATGTAATAATACATTAATCAATATATTTGCGCGGATTTTGAACAAAATCTTCAATAATTTGCGGCACTTTTGCCAAACTATTATCGGTTTGTATTCTTTGGGAGACTTCGGCCAAGCGGTCAGCCATTGGCCTATCGTTGAGCACAGTCTCGATGGCCGACAACAGCTCCCCCTCTTCGCACCGGTGGGCGTCCAGTCGTAGACCAAAGCCCTTGTCCTGCAGTCTCTGCGCGTAATCGTATTGATCGCCACAAACGGGCAAAACAATCATCGGTCGACCGAAGTATAGACACTCGTTGACAGTATTGGGTCCGCCGTGTGTTAGCACCGCATCCACGAGTGGCAACATCTGGAGCTGCGGCACAAACTCCGCGCCCCACATATTGTCGGCCAGAGTGTACTCCGTATGCATCGGACCCATCGATACGATAAACCGGTGCCGGGATTTGGCCAAAATGGCGACCAATCGGCGCATGTTTTGCACGTCTATCGCACACATCGAGCCGAGCGAGAAGTACACCAACGCTCCGGGCTTTGCGGCCAACGCTGGCGGCACTGCGAATGTCAGGTGCCGTTCGGGTCGACGCATAAGGTTATCAAACCGGACATAATTGCGTCCTAACGGACGGATGACCTGATAGTCTAACTCCTGGGGAATGCCGTATAGATTGAGATAACGCCGCGGGTTATGGAAACAGTGGTCGGGCAGTGGTTCGCAGCCGCGGCCGACTACCCACGAGTTGAACGCTTTCCATCCGTCGCTCGTCACGTCTCGACGCAGTTGACGAAACTCTTGCCATAAGCTCTGGTCTCCCGTAGCGGACAGTCCTATGGATTGGGCGGTCATTTAACTCTGGATTAAATTTGTTTTGTCGTGGTTTGCATTACCAGAGAGGTGGGGGTGGGGTGGGGAGGGGTTGTTTACAAACCTGATTCCGGTGGCGGTGCCCTCTCATCGTCAACCATCAACAGAGGATCGGCACTCCAACACCAAACACACGTTACGCCAGACAACTCTATGGCCGGCACCGCGAAACTGAACTGATCCAAAACGATAACATCGGGCCGTATGGCGGGCAACAGTCGCCGCAGCTGTTCGTCCATATACTGGGCGTGTTTTGTGAAAAACCGGGCGATGAGTGCCCACTGGCGCGCCTTCCGGAGCGGCGACTCGTCGCTAAACCGACCCGAAGAAAGCACCTGTCGGGCCGACTCTTCCTTATCGAGCGACCGATAGGATGACAGCGCAGTTGCGGTCATCCCTACCTCTTCGATACCGTAGTGCGTGAGTCGACCCGACCAGACATCGTTCACCGTAAACACCGCCCGGTGTCCGGCGGCTATCACCCGCTCTGCGATACTTAAGCACGCGTTCACGTGACCCGTCTCTAACAGCGGCACGAATAACATTTTTAGCTGTTTATTTGCCATCTTGTTTATTTAGTACATAAATGCTCCTGGTAACTATTGAGTTACTTTTGTAATTAACTAAACAATTGTACTAATTATTAAATATAAAAACTTGGTTATTAAAAATGCAGCTAAACAAATTTTAAAATCATTTATTTTGATTAGTTTTTGATTTATCATTTACCTAGACAAAACAAACATGTTAGTTACCTGCCACCCCTTCAAAGTATGCTCGACCAAGGTGAAATTTTATGATAAACTTTTCTCAAATGTAGGTAAAAGTAACTATCGCATCACTTTCAATAGCAAGAATTTATTGTGTCTATCATGATAATGACTTTTTAATTATTCAGCATTCTACATCTATTGTGAATTACAGAATTTTGATTATTTTAAATATACAAAATTGCACATGTACATGTACAAAAGGCATGTACCCATGTATTTTACAAAATTAACAAGTATTTATTGATGTTTATTAATTATACGTTAAATAATTTTTAATCTAAACCAAAATGGCATTTAAACCCCCTTTTAAAATATCTGTTTAAATCTATTTTACAACCAATATTTAAGTATTATATTGTATGTTAAAGTTACATAATAAATAAAAATGTTAACTTTTGTAAAGAGCGCTAAAACATAAATATGTTTTACATCAAAAATCAAATGTCATTATTTTGTTTACAAACAATCTAGCTGCGCTGTAAATTTATTTTACAGTAAATACAATTACTTTTAGGTTACCAAATGCCCGGATATAGTGGCGATCGGTTCCCGGAGCTGTCGGCCGAAGACAGGGAGGACTACAGCTGTAGTATATGTCAGGAGATATTCAACACTCCGGTCACCACAACCTGTTGTCGGCAAACATTTTGCGAGGAATGTATTAATGAATGGCTTAATACTAACAATACCTGTCCTAACGATAGGAAACCACTGACACGTAATGATTTGTCCCCCGCACCAAGGTATTTTTACATACTAACTTATAGTGATTTATATATTCAGTAAAATATTTTATGGACTTTATTTAAATGTTTGTCACTTTAACAAAAATAAACATTTTTATCATTTATTTTTTAGATCAATGCTTAAAACTTTTTAACAAGTAGTTTTCAAATAAATATTTGTAAAATTTACATTACCTTGTTAGAGATTAGTTTGTTAATTTATATAAACTTAATAAAAGAGTATTAATAATCACATTTAAATCTAGATTGGTGATTAACCTATTAGGCAAGCTGATGATACGGTGCGACTACTGGGACTATGGGTGTCACAAAGTAATTAAATTGGATGAATTGGTCAGACATACAATCAAATGTCGCTATAAAGTTGAGAAATGTGTGAAATGCGAGTGCGAACAGAGGCCGGGACACGACTGTATCGCCGCGTTATTGGCCGAAAACCGTGAGCTGAAAAAGATGCTAGCTGCTGAAGTGATTATAAACAAAGCGACCAAATATATGGACAAGGTCAATTTGGACGCAAGTGGATCAAAGCAAATAGCGTGCGTGAATGGACACCACGAGCTCAAACCGGGGCACGACTGTATCGATGAGTTAAGGGCTTTTAAAAGTCAGGCCCAGTTGGAGATCAATAGACTAAAACACGAGCTAGATGCCGCTAAACTGGCCCTGGTGTTAAACACACAAGCTTTAAGGCAGCAGCAGATAATTAGCAAACATGTCAACGGCAACAGGGCTTATACAACTGACCACCAGCTACTACTCGAGTGTAGGCGACACGTGTCGGCACCAGTGCTGTTACACAGCAATATGAAAGCCGATGTGACCAATAAAACACTGTGGATAATACGCGACAGTTTGATCAAGCAGAATAGTTTATACCACGTGTGCAAAAATGTGGCTGATGCGATGGACATAGAGTACGGCACTAGTTGGCTCTGTATTGCCTGCCCGAGCGATGGGAGACAGGCTTATTGCATAGCTAATAGGCGTGAATTAATGAGGGTCAAAATCGGCCCGTTAACTCTACTTCTCTTTTACACTAAAATGGTATAACACATTTTAATTTGATTATCTAGATTAAAATTATATACACAGTATTCGCCGGTTATATACTGAATTTATTGTTATCACGAAATTTTCCTTTATAATTGGGTTTCTTTAGTAAAATTGATTTATTTATAGGAGGGTTAAATTGTATGCAATAAGATATGTTAAGTAACATAGTTGTTATTTGAATAATTAAATTAATATAAAACTAGGTGAACGCGTCGAACCTGAGGGCCAGAATCAGGCGCAACAAAATGGATGGCATTATCAAAATAGTGAACTCAAATATGAACCCCGAAATGGTTTTGGCGGTTAAGGCAATGGCTGTGGAGGCCATCGACCGGTCGGACACTTTCGCAGACATAGCCATAGATATCGCCGACCAAATGGACGCCACATATGATAGTAAGAGCTGGGAGTGTGTGATCTCCGTTCAGGAATGTGGCCAATGATGTGGTAATGTATTAAAAGTTATCATTGATAACACGTATAGTGACTACCGGTTGGGTCAGATTGGCGTATATTTATGTGGTAGTATGATTAAATGTGAATACAGTGCTATTTTTATATTTTACAAAAAACAATTGAACATAAACTCTTTTAAAATAAATAAATTTCAAATATAATTTTTTTGCATCTATTGTGTTATGTAACAGTAAATATAAGTGATTAAAAATAATTTTACGTTTTTAAATACAATTTATTAGCCTAAGTATTGTTGAATTGGTATTCAATATTTAAAAAATTAAAAATTTATTTTCGCCTATATAAATTTTAAACGAATTTAATAATTCGTTTTCTGTCATAATCTTAAGAAATGTCAGAAATATAATGTAACCAAAACTATTTTACACATGTATCAATTGTTATGTAATACTGCTATTTGTTTTTTTAATGTTATGTAACTTAAAAACAGTTAAACAGGAAATTATGCAAACACTACACATAGAAAACATGCTAATTATTAAATGTTTTAAATTATTCACACTAGTTGCTATGAATTATCATATTTCAAATGTTATCACTAGGCATTGGTTTAACTAATTAAACGCCATTATATTTGTTTATATAAAATCATTAAAGTTGTATTAAAAACCAGTTTGTTAAAAACGTAAATAATTAATTGTGGTTAAAATGCCCGGATATAGTGCCGATCGGTTCCCAGAGCTGTCGGCCGAAGATCGGGATGAATATACGTGTAGTATTTGTCAGGAGATATTTAAAACTCCGGTCACCACAACCTGTTGTCTACAGATGTTTTGCGAGGACTGTATTAATGAATGGCTTCGGCATAACACTACCTGTCCTTACGATAGGAGACAATTGACCAGGAGCGGTTTAACAAAGCCACCAAGGTACTTCAGTAGTCTAAAAAATTACTATACTATCCATATAACAGAACAAATAATGTGTTAAAATTTAGTTAAATTTACAAATAATTATAAATGAAAGAAAATTAAGTATACTGTATTTTGTGAGATATTAATTATTACTGATCATGTTTATTTTGCTATAGACTAGTGATGAACACTTTGAATCGATTTAAGATACAGTGCGACCACTGGGCTAAAGGGTGTTGAGAAGTGGTCAAACTAGAACTTTTGCCACAGCATACAGTCAAATGTAGTTATAACAAACCCAAATGTCCTAAATGTCAATGCAATCAAACGCCGGGTCACGACTGTATCGCTGCGTTACTACACGAAAACAGTGAATTGAAAAAGAAGCTAGCTGACCAATTGGTAATGAACGAGGTCTCACAAAATACGAGCATGCTAAATATTGGCGCTCAAGAATATCGCCCGAGTAGTCATAGCGGACATACGCCAGCGCTGGAGAACATCTCTACTTTATATGCGTTTAAACAAAACGCCCAGGTAGAGATTGATAAATTAAAGCAGGCATTACACCAGGCTAATCATGCCATGAGAAATAACCATGCACTCACCAATCGTAGCCAGTTTCTAAATGACCGTGCTAATATTACCGATCATCAGCTATTACTAGAGTGTAGACAACATTCGCGGGCACCGGAGCTGTTGAATGACAATATGAACCCCGATATGAGAGATAACACTCTGGCTATAATACGAGAACAATTGGTCAAACAAAGTACCCTGTACAATGTGTGCAAATATGTGGCAAAACAAATGGATCTGGAGTACGGTGTCAGTTGGCATTGTATGACCGATCGTGGTGACTCTGGGCTACCCTACTACACGTACGATCGAAGTAATTTAATGCTGGTTAAAATCGCCCGGACCACATTGCTTTTATTTTGCACTAAAACAGTAAGTTATTAAACAGTATGTAATTGTATGTCTAGGGGATTAATAATAGTTATTAATAATAGTAACAATTACTATAATAATTTTTTGTATTAAACAATTAAACTTATTTAATTGTATTTAACTTTATAAAAAGAGAATAACTAATATACTTGCTTATAAACCTTGTTCAATTTAGCTAAATGTGGCAAATCTGAAGGCTCGACTCAGGGCTAATAAAATTGACCATAATATAAATGTAGTGGACACAAGTATGACTGCAAATATGGTGGAGTCCGTTAAACAGATTACATTTGAGGCCATCGCCCAATCGGACAATAGATACACAATCACACAGTTTATCATCAATAATATGAACACTCGTTTTCCTGATATGGATTGGCAGTGCATTATAACGATGATAGACGGTGCCTACATTAATGTGACCCATAACACTTATATTGATTACGGTGTTGATCAGCTGAATTTATATTTATATAGTATTAAATGAATTTATTGCATAATTTGCAAGTTATAATTATTTGAGGTACATTTTATATCAAGAATATTCTAACGAAATAAATACAATGTTTATAAAACTCGGTACTGATTGCTTTTGGATTAATTTAAATAAAAAGTTTTATAAATTACTATTGGACTTTCAAAAGTAAACATTTTACGTTAATACCAACTTCTTTGTTAATAAAATAGTATTCACTATATTAAAATTTGGTACATGTACATGTTTGGTACAGGGTCCGCCAAGACTTACAAGACATGTGCTAACAACAGCCCACATATATGGCAATACTGTTTTTGCGGCCAATTATAAGGCAAAAACAGCCGATTACTTGACCACTACTCTTAAGCCACAGTTGGATCAGTTGGTGGTCTGATGTAGAATTCATTGCTTATGAAGTGTTGGATTGGTTGAGCGATTCACACCCGAGACTATCGGCAAATACCCGACTATTGGCCAGTATTTGGATCGCTTCGAGGCGTTGCCGGCTATTAATGCTTATCAATATAAACTCCAATTATTGGCTATGGTAATGGCTAGATTTTGTGATCATTAAATAACCAATATTGAATTTTTATTTAACAATACATTTATTATTTAAAAAAAGATCATAATGAAAATACAAAAATATTTTTGTTATAAATGCACAAAATTCATAAAGGTACATTTATGCTGTACTATACAAATGTATATTAAGCTGTTCAACATTGTAATTAATATACGTATTACGGGTCACATAAACGCCCTGATCGTCTACCGTCGTTATAACGCACTGCCAATCCATACCTAGAAATCTAGTGTTCATATTATCGACAATAAACTGTGCGATTGTCACACTATTGTCCGACCGGGCGATGGCATCAAACGTGATCGCTTTAATTGACTCCACCATATTTGCCCCCATATTCGTGTCCACAGTATTTATATTATGGTCAATTTTATTAGCCCTGAGACGTGCCTTCAGATTTGTCACGTTTAACTAAATTGAACAAGGTTTGTAAGAAAATATATTTATTAATTAATATTTAAATATTCAATGAGAGAGAGAGAGAGAGAGAGAGAGAGAGAGAAATTTTAATAATTTTTTCTAGTAAAAAACTAGATATATGGGACATCATTTCACAAGTTACAGATTTGATCCAGCTCATTTGGTTTAGGAGATATTCGAATTTCAGATTGGCGGATATATATTGACGGACTGGATAATTATATTATTACTTACAATTTAAATAAAGTGTCAATTTAAATAAGTTTGCATAGTTCTCTCTCTCTCTCTCTCTCTAAAGTATTATCAAAGAATTTTACTAAATAACATTATGCAATTGTAACAAATAGTACAATTAAAAATGCGTTTGCATTTTATTATGCATATGTGTAAAATAAAATGACACAAAGCTCGTGCACATTATATATAATATGTGACCTAGGTTCAAATGACAAAATACTGCCAGAATTACGGCCGGCGGACACAAAGCAGTGCCACTTTCTGTGATGACATTTGGCTTTCATTTGACTTTTAATATTAGCCGCCATTTCGTTGATAGTGTCCGACCGGTCGATGGCATCAAACGTGATGTCCCGCACCATCTCAACCATATTGGGTTTCATGTCCTCCACCACTATATCTATTGTGCGATCAATTGTTTTATTCTTGAGTCGAGCCTTCAGATTGACCATGGTTAGCTAGAAATGGAAACTATAGTTTATTATCGTTGTCATTTAATTAATTAATTAATTAATAATCAGGGTAAAGCAATAAATGCTTGTTTGTCAAATCATTATGATCATAATCTAACCGTGTTATTTTTCAACTCCTCATTAGCCTGTTTTAACGCCTCGATCTCTATCATCGCCTGGCGTTTAAACAGCTGCAGCTCAGCGATGCTGTCCTGTCCCGATGCCTGTCCGCACTGACCACCTGAGCCCTCTACGTGCGCCTCTGTATTTAGCTTGTTCATATAATAGGCCGCTTTATTAACTTGCAATTGCCCTGCTAATTTCATTTTTAACTCGCTATTTTCAACCAATAGAGCGACGATACAGTCGTGCACTGGTGTCTGATCGCACTGACATGTCTCACACTTTGCCAATTTATAACGACAGTTGACTGTATGTTGTGACAGGTCTTCCAGTTTGATTATATCTCTGCACCCGTGAGCCCAGTGGTCGCACTGTATCTTAAAACGGCCCAATGTGTTCATCATCGCTCTTTGTCGGGATAAGTAAATTTAATTATGGTCATTATTAATATACATGTAAATAATTAAATGTTCATAAACTATTATTAATAAAAATTAAAACAATAATATCATATGTTTTAAAAATATACCTTGGTGGTTGAGACAGTCCACTTAGTGTTAGTGGTTTTCTATCGTAAGGACAGGTGGTGTTTGTCTTAAGCCAATCAGTAATACAGTCCTCGCAGAAAGTCTGTCGACAACAGGTTGTGGTGACCGGAGTGTTGAATATCTCCTGACATATACTACACGTGTAATCGTCCCGATCGTGGTCTGACAGCTCCGGGAACCGATCGCTACTATATCCGGGCATTTTAATTAATATGGAACTTGTAATTAATATAACACTTGTGATTTATTGTAAATATAATTATGGTGTTAATCAGTGAATCCAATGGCAACATACAGTACACAACTTGAAACGAGTGTATTTTACTGATAAGAATAGTGACTTGTAACTTTATCGTTAGCGGTTTTTCCAAAAATTTACGCTTAATGAAATTACTTTTAATTACTTGTTTTGTTTACGTGAAATATTATAGAGTATATTTAAAATAAATAATAATTATATAATGTAATTATAGGGACTAACAAGTAAGTGTTGAAAATGACAATTATATTTCATATTTGAGAGGATTTTTGCAAAACAATATCTTCTCAGGAATTGATTGATTGCCGTATTTATTAATTCTGGAGACGTCGCCCACTAAAACAATTTTCATTGTAACAATTTCTATGCACTTAATAAAAATGCTGAACCCTAGGTAAGTGTAAATCAAGCATTATATGAGAAAATATGGTATGGTAATAAATGATCATGTTTTTGCATTTTGTATATTGAATGACAATTAAAATAGTAATTTTATCAAAACAATTATTTTTAATGAGTTATCAGAGTTATTAGAGAAACCTATAAAAAACTGAATTCTGTATAATTTTAAATTATTTATTATAAAGGTATTTATTGAGAACATTTCTGTACACTTATAGCAATCAATATAATTTTTGTCGCATTTTTAAACACATAAACAGTTATGTCTTCAGCACCGGTACCTACTCTGGGCTATTGGGAGTGTAGAGGTATGGGTCAGCCCATACGCTCACTACTGGCCTACGCGGGCGTCAACTATACGGACAAACGCTATAAATTCAGTGTCAGTGAGATCTGGGAGTCGGATAAGACGGACACATTGGGACTGGACTTCCCTAAACTTCCCTATTATATCGATGGGGACCTAAAACTGAGTCAATCGATGTCTATATTGAGATATTTGGGCCGAAAGTATGCACTCGTGGCCACTGATGACCGCCAGCGGGCCCTACAAGACATGTGCGAACAACAGGTCATAGATATGGCCCAGAGTTTTGTTAAAACAATAGTATTTGCCGCCGATTATAAGGCAAAAACCTCCGATTACTTGAGCTCTACTCTTAAGCCACAGTTGGATCTATTGGTGAAGTTCTTGGCCGACAAACAATGGCTAATCGGCGGACAGTTGTCTTACGTAGACTTCATTGCTTATGAAGTGATGGATTGGTTGAGACGATTCACACCCGAGACTATCGGCAAATACGCGACTATTGGCCAGTATTTGGATCGCTTTGAAGCGTTGCCGGCTATTAATGCTTATCAAAACTCTGTCCAATATAAACCTGGTCCAATTATGGGTCATGGTGATGGTTGGAATTTGTAATCATTAAATAACTAATATAGAATTTTTATTTAATAATGTATTGATTACATAAAAATGATTATATTAATAATAAATATACAAAAATGTACCCAAGGTGATTATAACTTGCGCCCTATGCGAGAGAGAGAGAGAGAGAGAGAGAGAGAGAGCTTTCAATTAGTAAAACATTCAATAGATGTCATTTGTTATGCTCTCCCAAGAAGTGCACTGACACAATATCTTTGTTTGCAAACAAACTAAAAAGTTTGACTTATTTTTGTATTAGATTAACAGTTAATTAAATAAACTCGTTATAAATGCCCGGATTTAGTGTCGAGCGGTTCCCGGAGCTGTCCGGCGAGGAACGGGACGATTACACGTGTAGTATATGTCAGGAGATATTCAACACTCCGGTCACCACAACCTGTTGTCGGCAATTGTTTTGCGAGGACTGTATCACTCAATGGCTTAGAACTAACACTACTTGTCCTTACGATAGGAAACAACTGACCCGAAGTGGTTTATCACAACCACCCAGGTACATTTGTTTTAGATTATTTATTTAAATACATTAAAAATAGAATAACGAATAATTTAGTTATATTTTATTATATTTAAAATATTTATTGCTAAAAAGTACTATTAATTACATACATGCATATTTTAATTAGTAATCATGATTAATTATTTATTTTATCATAGGCTAGTGGTGAACACTTTGAATCGATTTAAGATACAGTGCGACCACTGGGCTAAAGGGTGTCGCGAAGTAATTAAACTTGAACTTTTACCGCAACATACAGTCAACTGTCGCTATAACAAACCCAAGTGTGTTAAGTGCCAATTGTATCAAACACCAGTTCACGACTGTATCGCTGCGTTACTACACGAAAACAATGAATTGAAAAAGAAACTTGCTGGCCAATTGGTAGTGAACGAGGCAATTACCAACATGAGCAAGCTCAATATTAACGCTCGAGAGTATTGTCCGAGTGGTCAGAGGGGGCAGACATCGGGTGCGGAGAGTTTGACTGCCGTTAAACGCAAAGCTGGCGTAGAGATCAACGCAATAGAACGGGCGTTACAACGAGTTTATGATGGCGTGAGAAATGACCTTGGTGCCGCAAATTGTAGCCGTTTCGGACAGTCACTAAATGACCGTGCTAACATTACCGATCATCAGCTATTGGTCGAGTGTAGGCGACACGTATCGGCACCGGAGCTGTTGAATGACAATATGAACCCCGATATGAGGGATAACACTCTGGCTATAATACGAGATCAATTGGTCAAACAAAATACCCTGTACAATGTGTGCAAATATGTGGCAAAACAAATGGACCTGGAGTACGGTGTCAGTTGGCACTGCGTGACTGATCGTGGTGACTCTGGCTTACCCTATTACACGTACGACCGAAGCAATTTAATGTTGGTTAAAATCGCCCGGATCACATTGCTTTTGTTTCGCACTAAAACAGTATGTTTACATGCATTTATTATCTGCGTTTGTAATCTCTCTCTCTCTTCTCAGGAATTGATTGATTGCCGTATTTATTAATTCTGGAGACGTCGCCCACTAAAACAATTTTCATTGTAACAATTT